TTCCCTACATCCCCGAAAAATAAAACACATCCTGAATTTAGCAGAAGACTAGTCATTTGGAGGAAATACGGTGAGACAGACCATATAGTCTTGGCCTGGGGAAAAACAACAACAACAAAAAAGAAACAAAAAAAAGCCACAAAACATAACAGACCAGGAGCCAAAGTAAGAGAGTCTTCTCAGCATAGCCAAAAAGACAGCCTAGACTAGATAGCACTGCACCACCAGAACCGAGATCACCAGACTTTCAGAAAGGCATCATCCCCTGAGAAGGGCACTCAGAAATGGAGACACCAAAAGGAGTATAGCGTCCAGAGACTAAAATGCAATTTTTCCAGCACAAAGTTTCCTTTACCCAGTTGTCATGGAATACATAAAATACACTACTTCTGTGTTCAAATCTGTACGCTTCCCCTCCTTCAGAAATGACGTCCTCAGGCAGCCCCCTCTTTTTAAGCTATCACACGAAAAGGACAAAATCATGAACTACATGTCACTTTTAAGTTTTCAGAAGTCCTATAAAATATTACAAATAACCAATTAGTGTTTCTTTTGCTTTTAAAATTCCTGCCTGCATACAAATGCTCCTGGAAAGCTAATTGGACCACCACGACATTAATTAAAGAGAAAACTCTTCAAATTAATCTAATACACTGCTGCGATAGAACCTTAAAATAATACGCCCTTTCCAAGAATAATCCAGAACTTTATTCCCTTCATTTAAACTGAGGCACCTCAGACATTGTTTGCTGGAAAAAGTCACCTTTTCAACTTCAGTTTGGTTCGGGGTTTTCCTTTTGTCTTCACAGTAATCCCTGACGGCCCAGAGAGGTGAAATGCGTGCAAAGGTTGGTCAGTCAAAACTCCCGTTAGTTACATTGTTAACGCTAAGAAACCTTGCCTAGCCCACTGAATTTTAATCCCAAATTAGAGCTGGTGGCAAAAGGCAATTCTTCTTCTTTTGACATAAAGTACGTACTTCGAGAGCCTGTTTAAAAATTCACTTTTCCAGCATGAAAGCACTCAAAAGCTGAAGTTCCTCTATTGCCCCTCCAAAAAGATGTCTCAGCTGTACCGAAGAGAAAAGGAAACATTAGGCTGTGGATTCAAATCAGCTGTCAAGAAACACAAACATAAATCTGACTTAATAGCGTAATTTGGAAATGTGTTCTGGGCCCACCCTTGGCAATAACACCACGGTTTAATTCATGTTGTAGCAATATTTAAAACATCTCTGCAACTTTGGTTCTCCACCCAACTGAACAACAGAAAATTATGTCATTCAATGAAAAACACCACACGTATTTAAGTGAGAGAAACCATCTAAACTTCTGACATTTTTCATCTTCATATTTTTTTTTTAATCCAAAAGATTTGTACAGCATTTTTTTTTCAATAACTTACAGGATCAAAAGGAGAATAAATGCATAGCTTCAGAACCTTAGAATATAACCTCCCCTTGTTGTGGAAGAGTTCAAAGTCATAAAGTGCTGCAGATATGAACACACATCAGACAAATAATCTAGTAACTAACTTATTTTTCTGGTTTATTTAACAATATTCCAAGCTTAGAACATTAAATAAAAATGTCACAGACAATGGGTAGGACTAACAATGGCTTTGTTCTTTTTTTTTTTTTTTCTTTTTCTTCTCTTTTTTTTAAAAGAATGCTGAGACACATCAATTGAACCGACTACAGCTTTATTTTGGATACCAAAAAAATAAAAAAGAAGCTGGAAGGAAGAGAGTAGTGCATTGCACCGATATCAGTAAAACTGCTTGTAAGCATCACTGCATACGTTTAGCCCTAGAAGGACGAAGATGGAAACAGGAGATGGATGCTGCCAAGAGGGGCAAGCTGAACGCAGACCGGGGGAGCAGTGCTCTGGGCTCTGCCTTGGTTGCAAGGGCACAGCTTTGACTTATGCTCACGTAAGAGAGGATCAGCACGCCGTGCACTAGCATTTGCGCAGCTCCTTGAGGGCTAGCGGTGGTGGTAGCAGGTGGAGGTGGTGCAAGCGGAGGCAACCGACACCAGCTGGCACTCAATGGACTTAAAAACCGAGACGTCTTTCTCACAGGGGTGTCACAGGAGCTCAGGTAACATCAAAAAGGGACCTGCTATATCTCACTCCCTTCCATAACTTGGTTTTGCTACCCTCACAGCTAGCCTACATACCTGCAAGAGTTTAGGCTAAGACTGTGTTTTGCACCTTGGGCAATCACATACACCTCTTCATCGGACATGGAGAGTACCAACATTCAACTGGATGCACTGTGCGTGTACTTTGTAGAAGTGCAAATTAATTTTCAGGGGGCTGGAGGGTGAAAACCCAGGCTTACTGACAGCCAAGCATGGGCCACACTACCTGTTAAATGCATTTTTCCTGGGCTTAAACATGCCAGGTAGTTCACTACTATTTACTCCAGTGCTCCTTTACTCTAACTTCTGTCCTTCCTCCCCACCCGCTCGCCCCTTCCGACCACCTACAAAGAACACAGAGGCCTCAAACTTGTAAAAACTATTAAACCAAAACATAAACAAGCAGTCTGGCAATAGATTCAATTCCATTGCAATTCTCATTTTTGTATGTTCCTCCTGGCTGGGCCCTTTCTACAACCAAACGTCCATGGGTACCACTGTGATGGAAAAACCCAACTTTCTTCCTCCAGAACAGTAACAGCCAGTCTTCAACAGATCTCTCTCCAGAAAGGCTGTGCTTGACACAGTCGTAGACTAAAGCTGGGGTGGGGGGTGAGACACCAGTAACAAAAATAAAACCCCAAGCAAACCTTGACTATAACTGGACAACGCCAAGAGCCCTCCTCCGCACCTCAGGGAAAAACGCTGGCTGCCATCCCACTCCGTGCCAGGCACGAACTCTAATCTTGTTTATGACCTGCAGTATTTCATAAGAGATGGGGGGGTTTGGGTTGGTTTTCTTTCTTTGTTTCTTGTTTGCCAAGTTCTCAAAAGGGCTTAAAACACTTAGGCGTAGAGACACAAAGGGAGCAATTACAATACACAACAACTAATCGGAAACAGTACTCAAACATTAGACTGGACCGGACTAAAGTCCACTCTACAAACTGAAGCAGAAACAGACAGGAGGAAAAAGAAGAGTTTTTAAGTGCTAATGTAATAAGAAATAATCTTAAAGACTCACTAAATACATGTGGGGAAATGGAGGGGTTCCCTTCTTTTAAATATATTTACATAATATTAAAGCTTTTTATTTTGCTTTTCTCGCCAACAAAATTTTCTAGCTACCCTGGGTAAAGTCCCCATTTAAATTAAGAGGTTAAGGATTTTATAACATAGCCAGACTGTTGGACCCGCGGCCCGTGCATGTCTCCCCGCCCTCTCCTTCCCTCCCTCTCTCCCTCCGCCGCCGAGGGCCCTGATGCCGTGCCTGCTTCACACCGCCGGGCATCAGCTGTAACATCGGCACAAAGCGAAGGGAACATGATGCACCCCCGACCCCGCACGCTCCGTTACCACTTTGTAAAAGCACAAGAAACTACAATCAGGGCTTGCCTAGACACAAAAAAAAAAAAAAAAAAAAAAAGGTTTTGCCATTTAGCTGCTGCAGTTAAATGGTAAAACCGGACTAATGTGGACACAGCAATACCAGTTTAGAAGTGTTTATACCATTTACATGGCACTGGAAAGGAAAATAACTTATCCCAGTATAACTGCATCCACATTACAGCCTACGCCAGCACAGTATCAGTTAAAACAAAAACACATCAGTCCCCTAATTGACAGAATTATACCAGCTGAACTTTTCTAGCACAGACCAGGCCTAAGACATGAGGTAGTGAAAAAGAAAATCAGGCTCAAGATCTTTTTTTCATTCCATAGCATCGATATACTCTAAAAATATTCACTGCTCAGAGTTACGGATTTTAAAAATAATGTTTTAAAATCCAAAATTTAAAGCTAACATCCTGAGTCACACAGGATTTACAAACGGAGGCATAAATCTTAAAAACGCCCTTGCTCAGGGTCCTAATTCAGAAAATATTTTTATGATAGAAAGCACATAAGCATGTGTTTGTCTCCCACCAAAGCAAGTGGAAAGGAAGCACATGGGTAAGTGCTTTCTGAAATCTGGGCCACAGTCAGAAATCACGGTCTTTGTAGAATTTATTTCCTCATTCATTTCAGTGCTGTTTAATCACAAGTCATTCATGTTTTAAGACAGTGGGAAAAACATAGACAATGGAAGCTAAATCAAGTTTGTTACAACTGTTCAATATTTACAGCATTCATAGAATAAAACAGAAGTATTTTTGGTAACTTAAGACAAATACCTTTTCTTTTTGTTATTAAATGTACCGCAGCAGTCCTGTTAAACAAACCCACTGTCTCGGATATTAAAGAAATTGTTGTTTACATTTACCGAGTCATTTAAATTAAAAATCTGTTCCTGTTCCAAACCCCACTCTCCTTCGTCTTCATCCTCCGGTTCTGCCTCGGACCCATTCCGACTGTTTTCGTACAAAAAGATCTGCTCATCCACGTGAGCTGGGGCTAAGCGGTTTCTCTTTGCACTTACAACATTAGCAGAAGAACCGAAAAGGCGTTCAGGGAAGACCCTTGTGGCCAAAATACACCAGTATTTTTGAAGAACCTTTGGTAGAACTGGAAACAGCGCTAGTCTGTCAGACCACCACTTCAGCGGGTCTTCGTTCAAGCCAAGGACCTTTTGTGACTTGAAGTTGCTCAGCTCCTCAACGATCTGAGCGTGCCATTCCTCCTGGTCTTCCACGCCTCCTGTCTGGCAAAAGATCTCTGCGAGCATGTTGTTGATGACACTGGTAGGAGGAGGAGTAGAGGAGATTATTTCTCCTCAGTCCTAAAAGTATTTTCTTTTACTTTCTCCAGCAGGCTTTTTGCTTCTTCCACCACTCTGTTTTCAACCTGCTGCCGCTCAAAGGCTGAAAGAAAAGGCAGTTTTTTGTAGCGGGGATCCAAGAAAGTTGCGACGTTGAGAAACATGTCTATCTCAGGCGTGTGCTGGTAGGTGGTTGACAACTCTTTAGCAATCACCTCCTTTGCCATGCTGATTTCTTTCAAATCGTTCTCTTTGATGTTCAGGGTAGTATTCAGAAGCATGTGGAGAAGTGGCTTCACCATACTGATCGTCGGGTACTTTGAAGCAGACATCATCTCTGCAACCTGCTTGAAAGGCTGCAGCAGTTCCACCAGCCCTTCGATTGTATTCCACTCACTGGCTTCCAGCATGAGGTGGTGGTTGTTGCTGTCCTCCACCAGAACAGCCGCAATGACAAACTGCTGCTCCTTGAGGCGCTGCAGCATAGCGAGCGTGCTTCCCCACCAGGAAACACGGTCGCTTACCAGCATGCAGTGGAGAAGATTCTGCTGCTTCTGCTTCTCGCTCAGCATGTACATCGCGACCGTAGACTGCTGAAAATACTCTACCAGTTTTCGGCACCTGGCAAGAAGGCTGCAGAGTTTGGGGAGCTGAAAAGCTTGTTGTATTCCTGCATTAAAAGTGTGCCCCAAACAAGGCATCTGTACGGGAATATCTAGGAGAGAGCAAGCTTTCACAATGTCTTTACTGTAATCTGTTGTAGCACCAAAGACTTTTGTATTGATCCCCCACTCAATGAACGTTTCATAAAGGACTCGCGTAATAGTCTCTGCAGTATTATCCTCTGGTACTTCAAACGTTTTTAAACACCGCGAGTTCACCGCCAGGCAGTTGGCAGGACTGCTGCTGAGAAAGTGAACCGCGACGGTTACGTACGACCTGTTCTGGTTTTCGCTCCTCCACATGTCCGTGGATATGCCACACCACAGAACCTCGGTGAGCTCTTTCAGCACAATTTCTCTAATGGCATTGTACTTTTCAGGAATAGCTTTTGTACAGAAGTACTTCCGGCTTGGAAGTTCATACCTGGGGTCCGCTGTTCTCAAGAGGGCCTTGAAGGTGGGTTCATCAACGATAGAGGCCGGATACATGCCCTCGCAAATTAAGCTGATGACTGCGGATGTCAGCTCCTGGTGCTTTTTGTTTTCGTAGTTCTGGTAGGTCTTCATGATGAGGCTATCCTGAACAACCTGCTGTGACGACTCTGGCTTGATTTTTGAAAACGCCGTGGCGAAGGCTTCCCTCATTTGCTCTGTGTTACTTTTCACAAATTCGCAGAATTCGTCGGGGTGATTTTTCTCAAGGTGGTAGGAAAGGTTGGACGTGTTTCCTGAATAGGCGATCTGTGCCATGCAAATACGGCAGTAGATCTTCTTCCACTGTAATATGCATCCTTCTGCATTGGTATCAAACCCAAAGTACTTCCACACTTTACTCTTTGCTCTCGGGTGAGCCACTAACTTTAGGTCTGATGGGGAACCTTCTAAACTTTTATTCTCCATCGCTTCTTGGCCACCGTCCCACCTTTTGATCCTTCACTCATTAATGAGTACCTGATAAAGGCAGTAAGATAAAGATACAATGAGAAAGCACAAGTTTGACCACACTTAACTATGTGAAATCAGTGTTTCTGCGAACGTATCAAGAAACCTACCTTACTAATTACATTTGCAAATTTAAAGATGAGATTTGCAGGAAGTGTGACCTACAAGAAGCCCATCAGAATGTCAAAAATTAAAAAGGATTTTAATATATCACATTCTGCTGTGAAACTGAGCTAGAAGACCTGAGTAAATCTTGTTTCTGGAATTACGTAATTCTGGGTAGAGAAACCATAACCACCACCACAGAGCTGATACATTGCTGTGACACAAACCGGTCATCTGCTATAGCATTTTCCTGCCTCTTAGGTTATAGTTAGGGCTAGACCAACGTCCTCTCGCCTAAGAGTTACTGAACTTCACTGTTAATATTTATTTCAATTGAAACCTGATACGAAGGAGCAAAGGTTTTATTGTTTGTTTATTTTGAAAGAAGTTTTGTTAGCTCCATCTAACTGTTCCAGCATTTGCTTAAAAAAAAAAAACAACCATAATAAAAAAATCTGTGATGCAAATTATGGCATTAATCTGCTCCTCTGAAATGTAAAGATGTTTTCTGACTGAAATAAAAGGAAAAGGAGTTTGAACCTACATGCAGATCAACAATACGTGTCTGACACCTTTCCTGTCCTTCTCTTTCTGAAATCAAAGCCATCTCCTGAACTACTAGTTCACAATTGTGGTTCCTGGAATAACAGTGCATTATAATTACAGGAAAAGCAGACAGGGAAGCACTAATAAATGTTATTATCCACATCAGCTAGAAAATAATTTTGCTGTATTTTCTTCAAAAGGCTACAGAAGTCGGGAGGGGGTGACACTCTAGAGATGAGTGGTGATAAGGCAAGACTTGGCAACCTGAACCTAAATATCTGCACAGGAAAATGCTCGTTGTGCAAACGGTCACATGCAAGTACAGCTTGAGGCCTACAGCATCTCTTGTGCCAAGTGCCGGCAACCGGCACCTGCTGGAGCTGATTTCACTACACCAAAAAGCCAAGCCACAGCACAGCAGGACTGCATGCTGCCGCTTCTCCATTTCTTCCACACCACCAGCCGAGCCACCGTGACAGCAACAAGCCCTTCGCCAGGGGCCTGGACAGGATAGGGAAGGAGAAGAAAGCCATCAGTTAAACACAGATGCAACCTCCTCCACAAAAATCAAGGGGAAGAGAGCAGGAGAAACATCAGGAGCATCCCTGCAGCCAGCCTGAAAGCAATAGCATTGCTCCTTCCCTGCTCATCAGGAGCTGCACCTGCACCCAAGCCCAGAAATCCCCGGGTGCTAAGACTGGCTGGCTGGGGGAGGAAGAACCAATCTGACATTTTCATACTGCTGCAAGGGAATATCCCAAAAAAATGTATGCGTGCAAGCTTCTCCAGTACGCGTCCTGCTGCTGCTGAACATTCCCAAGAAAAGATGTTTTCCCTCGGAACTACAGCTGGTATTTTGCAGCACTTTCTGAATGTCTTGAATGAAAAACCAAAGACAGGTTTACGAAGACTAAACATATTTATTTATACACAGCTGTTGGTTTAGAAGCAGAATGAGAGATGCAGGGCAAGCATTTTTATTGGATTTGTTCTGAAGATTTACTTCTGGGTGTAGACCTTTTTTTTTTTTTTTTTCCCCCCCTGAGGGAGGCAACGTTCTGACTGCGAGCATGTCCTCTACTGTGATTCATTCAGTGCCTTTTAAGTTGCCAGGATAAACTATTGATTTAACATGGTAATGCTGCCTAATTCCAAAGATGTGCATATCAACAGCACCAAGGTATGCAATCCCACAAAAACTGATGATTTTGAAAGACAAAGTGGTGTAATGTATAATGATGTAACCCTGCCATACCATCAGACTGGGCATTAACAAGACATGTTGTATCAGTATGTATTATTACTGCTTTGAGATCCCTCCATTTCAATCCATAACATGCTGTCTCTAGGAAGTAGAGAGGCTCCCAGTATTTCATTAAATCTTACAGTTTCCTTTGCAGTTATGTGGCAGTTCCTGAAAGCAAGGAGGAAGGCACTGTCATAAAAGCTCTGATGCGTCTTTAATATTTAAAATTAGTATGACACACCTTGGATCATAAAAAAGTTCATCACAGACTGATAAAATACAAGTTATTTTAGCGCAAGGGAGCGTTACAGACTCACCCCCACCCTTCATTCTTACGTATGCTACAGCTTTGCCATGGTTTTGAGATGGATCTGGCACTTGGCAATAGTGGCAGAGTAGCATTGCCACAGTTAAGGATATGCCAGCGTAATACAGCCTTTATTATAATGCTGTAAACCACCTTCCAGCTGTCATAATAGCTCGAATATAAACTGCTAATCATCCCTGCCTCTTCTCAAGTGTTATACAGCATAACTAGTGCTATGAAAAAAAGAAAAAAAACAAAAAACCAAAACCTAAAACACACCTCTCATTTTTCATATAAGAGGAGATAAATTTTTCCTGTTTCAGTGAAACAAGTGTTCATAGTCTAGGCTTGGCAAAAACCAGAGCAGCTTCAATGCTGAGCCAAACTGAAGACACCAGCACCTTGCAGAATGAAATCCATTGGGCATGAAGCACCTCACGGCCTTTGAGAAGTGCCACAGCTTGTTACAAAGGCAGCTGATGGAAATGCTCTCTTTTAGCTTGCCGAACTTTTCATGATAAAAAACTAGTGCCGCCTTGGTTTGCTCAAAACCCTTCCGTGCACAGAAGCCTTCAGGCTACAAACCTGCCTTTTCCTTTCTCCCTTGAACTCCCACCCACACCGAAACAGAGTGCACCTTCGGAGAAGCTGGTGTTTTCCTCGCCACCTCCCTGCAGCTGGCCAGCACCACCAGCCAGTACCAGGGCCGAGGCTTTTAAAAGCCTGCAGACAGGATCTTCTGCTGGCCTCGCAGCAGACTCAGCGGCCACAGCAGGAGGAGGAGGAGGAGGAGGAGGAGGAGGAGGAAGGGCCCAGGTTTCCTGGCCCTAGCACCTCATCCCCGCCCTCCCCGGGGCAGGCTGTGCTGCCGCCTCACACCTCTCAGACCCCTCTCGCTCTCCTAACAGATACCCACAACTCCTCGCTCCAGGGCAGGGCTTGGGCCAAAATATTGAAATGCCAGTGACGACGCACGCTGTGGAGGGCAGCGGTGCTACCCTTGCACCAGGCAGGACTCCGTTTCCCTGGTGGCAAAGAAAATAGGTTCAAAACCCGTAGGAGTGTCGCTCGGATTGCGAAACCAAGCACGGGGATGTGAGGAAACACGGGGTGTGCAGCCACCCTGAAACCTTAGCTCTGCCCCCTTGTGCACGCACAGCAATGGCACCCTCTTTAATTACACGGTAGGTATCGTTGTCGCACAACCCTTGCCTCATTCAGCACAGGGGCAACTATAAAACGAGCATTTCCTCACTTCTGAAGCTACCTAAATAACTCTCTCAGGTGCATGCGTGGGGGAGAGGGATTAATTGTTAGATGCAACTTTATTTTTGCCTGCCACCAATCCTTCCTACCTGGTCACTTCTCTACTCACCTCTGGATGTTTTACAACCTAGAGCTCGTGCAGCTTTGAGCAGAAGTGCTCGGTCTACCACTATGCCTTACTCATATAAAGTAAAAGCCCTCAATACCTGAATCAGAATTAAGAGAAGCATGTTCCCAAATTAATATTTCATGATTAATTGTAACGAAATTCGGTGCAAATGATGATACTGAATAACTGGAAATTGGGGCAAATTAAAAATATGTATGAAATTTCAGTCACTTTTAAGAAGAACGGGAATCAGCTTTAAGGTCTTCTGAACTTCAGCCACATAGCACCTTCTTCAGAGCCGGTTTGCTACACGGGTACCAAGTTTAACTACAAAGACTTCAAAACTACAAAACATTCAGCATTTAATCTTCCCCTACCAAATTTCAATGAAACATGTAAAGTAGAAGAGAAAATAGAGGAGGAAGATGCCAAATAAATTCCTTGAGAAGCTTTTAAAATACCAAAAGATATTATTATTATTATTATTACTATATGAACTATTTTTGTTATCAGTAGGATGACTTTCAGTGACCATGTTTCCAGTGTTAATATCCTGGTGTCATAATTAATATAAGTTTGTCTTTTATCAATCCACTGATTAGATTTTTGTTTTTAAAAAGCTGTTTATATCAAGATCTTTAGTCACGCAGGGCTTTTTTTTTTTTCTCCAATTAATTAAGATTAAGCACTGTAAAAAAAAAAAAAAAATCCAAGCAGTAATTTCTAATGAAACTATTAATTGTTTAGACCACTAAACACTAACACAGTTTACACTACATATCGGCAGTTATACCATTTATGCAATTAGTACTTGGAAAAATGTTTTAATGTAAGTTAAACATACGTTCCCCTTTACTTCTCGCACACTGATTTTAGTTAGCAAAGCAATCACTGACTGCACCCCCTTTATCCTCCCAGCTCTGTATTTCCCTCCCCTGAGCTTCAAGCTCAGAACTTCAGGCCAACTTCCCCAGTCTGTATTGTGGGGGCGGGGGAAAGCTCACTTCAATAGCGAATATCACTATCTTTTCAGTTTGCAACTCGAAACAACTACCAAGTTTCTGCACTGAATCTAGATTTCAGAGCTCAAACCGCCCTCTTTCCCAAAGATGTTTTGAATCCCATCAGGATGTGACAGAACAGACGGTCACTTTTAAAAGCCGTGCGGAAGCACAGGTGCCAAGAGCATACAACTCTGACTAAGTTTAGGTAAAGAAAAAGAAAAGAAAAACAAAACCAATTTGATTTACTTTGGATTGAAGTCCTGAACGCTTCTTCCCGGCAAGTGCAAGAAAGTAAGCTTTTCTTGGAAAATTCGGAGGCAGAAGGGCTGCACTGACACTGGACCCCTTCGCTCACCCGCAGAGCTCAAGGACAAGCCACCAGGCATCTCTCTGTTTTAAATCTTCCACAGGAGGGCTGCACCA